GATGAATGCCTCTGGCCATGTTTATGGTTTATTCAGAATTTGAGAGATCACCTGACATTAGAAGGCAAATCTGATGGTTCCTGGGATTAATTTAGTTGGCTTAATCGGGGACCATGGCACTTCTAGCTGAGAGAAATCTGGCTCATCAAAGTCTTGTGGGTAGCGTCCTTAAATAAAAATGGGAGAGAAAAAGATGGATGGTTTTGACCCCAGTCCCTTTCAGTCACATTAATCAAGGAATGGTGAAACATGTGGAGGTATTTACTAATGGCCAATAACGTAGAAAGAGAATATTACTGAGAGACAATTCTCCATTAGTCTTTTATGTTACTGCACATTTTGAAACAGAAATGCTCCCTAGAGAAAAGGATACACCAATTGTTTCACCTCAGGGTTCTTCAGTTACCACAGTTGCCCTTTACCTATACAGTATCTACCAGAACTGCCGTGCATCGCATTGTGAGCTTGAAGTCAAGAGGAGCTGCCATTAATATGAGGCACGTTGCTCACTGTGCCAAGAAGGGTAATGTCCATTCTCTTTAATCTGGGACAAAGATTATTTTACAGGTAAGCATTTTGGCTCAGTCATTATCCTGTTTTCATGCTTTCAATAACAACAAAATCTTCTAAACTGAGAGAGACTAGTTATTCTTGATGTTATTATGTTGGAAATCTGTAGGCTTGAAGTCACTGTCTTTCTTTAATGACAAGGATTATATGCATTTAATTTGTGAATTTGGGTCTTTTTTCAAAAATTATCAAAAATTTCCTTCTCTACTAATATGTAAAAGTATGCTAGTGGTTAGCAGGAAGAGATCAATAGTGTTTGAATTTAGACCTCTTATTTATTGGAAGTTGCTTGAACTTCTATACCTCAGTCTTTTCAGTTATAATATATATGATACTAAAGGGCTATTATGAGGATTAAATGGAATTATATATACATAAATTATATAGAACAGAGCCTAGATATCATAAAGGTATTATGTAAGATTAGTCCATGTGAATAAATTCTTTACTGTTGAGAAGATTAAAAGGTATAATACAAGTATTTATTGTAGGGTCTGGCAAATAAAATACTCAGATATTTTTAATAGTTTAGTTGCCTGAAGGACTTGATCACAATTTCTGTTAAAGTGGCTGTTTCACATATTTTGTGCTTTTATGTTTTTCTTCTTTTCTAACTTTAATAACTGCTATCAAAATTGAACCAGAAGCTTCTTTAATTACTGCTTCCCAGATTAAACACTTTCTTCCTCACAAGCCGAGCGGATCCATTGTGTACCATTCACAACACACCCCACTATTCTGTTCACTGAAAGACATAAATATTTCATCTCTTTTATTAACTGTAACCTTGGTAATTCTATGACTACAGCCTGTTAATCTTTTTATTTCATATTTTGCATTGCACTGAGCAAATGAGCAATCGAGGGTTCCTGAATGACATATTTTTAAAAGTTCAACCCTTCCAACTTCTTTTCAAGCCTTTTAAAAGTGGCTTGAATTGATCCATTCAAATAAAGTTTTCATTTTTCCTTTTCTCCAATTATCTAGATAAACAGATATGAATTTTCTTTGTTAGGAAATATAATGTAGATTTTTACACTGTGCCTTTAATCATAATTAACTGCTTCTGAAAAAAGTGTTTCTCTGATTAACAGGTTATAGAAGCCTGACTCTTAAAGAATAAATTATACTTTTTGAAGCAAAATACACCTGAATAGCATTTGGCCCCAGCAGGCTACCTGACTCTATGCACAGATGCTGTTTAATCCCTTCATTAATGGAAGTAATTCCAGATAATCATGGTAAAAGTCAAGTACAGTTCTAAGGTGTGAACTTAAAATGATGACACTGATGACTGGATATATAAATATATGTAGCCTTCTTCATGTTATGAGGTATTTATAGCTTGAAGTTTATTTTGGACACCAGCCTAGTTTTTTACTAGCAAGATTTATTGTAGGTATCAAAGACAAAATTTCTTTCATTAAATAACATTATTACTAGAAATACTTTTAATGATAGAAACAGGGTCATTTTTCATGAATTATTAAATTGAGTAAGTAAAAAAATCAAGTTTATCATAAGGCTTTTATTGTTGCTAAAAAAAAAAAAAACTCTATCTAGTAAAGGACTCAGGAATACATTGTGCAGTGATAGAATCTTATTTACTGAAAAGAAAATAAAGAAAGATTGAAGAATTTCCAACCTGTGCAAATGATTCTATGATTCTTTGTTCTGCATACATTTTAAAAATGTCAATGTTAAAAATGTCTTCTGTTGTAAGAATTCCTTCATTGTAATCTCTATAGGACTTGGAAAAGGCTAACAGAAGGAATTTCTCCTGTTTGACGAATTTCTTTTCTCAAAAGCATTGATAATCAAAGGGTAAAATTTTCATTTTAATGCCGAGAAAAGGCCTTGATCTGAAATCATTTTTTCTGTTCTCTATTTTATAGGACTCTTTTGATAGCACTAACTGAAAAATGTTTTCTCACCCTAAAGACTCAGAGTTTTAAAAATTCATTATTTCAACGTAGTTTGGTCAGAAGCCATAAGCATACCACTTAATGTTGGACAGGCCACAGAAAATCTGACTGGAGGAAAACTGGCAAAAACATCATGCTCAGTTTTTTGATTCCGGAGGTAGAGTTTAATCTCCACTAAACCATCCTGTCAGAAAATTTTCATACTTCATGATTTCAATCGTCATTTCCACTGATGACCTAATTACTTTCTTTATTGTTTTTGTTTATTTTATTCATTCTTAGTTTTTGTCTTATGAACCTTAAATAACACAAACAAAGGAGCAAAAATATGGGTTTCCATCCTGGAAACAAACAAACAAAAAGTGTGTTTCCAGAGAATGCCTCCAATTTGGCTGAAGTCTACTCATCAAGTTTAATGGGACTCTCACTGCCAAAACTTCAAGCAACTTTTGCTTATTTAGGCCTAAATGTAACTGCCACTTGTTCCCCTCCTCTAGGGTCCATGGGAACTCTTATTTGTCGCTGTCCAGATTTCAGCTTTCCTGTTTGTTCTCAGTGGTATTGATGCTGCTTTCTTGTCTATGCTGGTTCACAATGCTGGGTTGATTATGCGAGGAAGCACTGTTGTTTTATATTTTTATTTTTTTTTAATGCTTATTTGCTAAGCCAAACAAGTTGTACCACAAAGAGTAAAATCCTCTCTGGTTTCAACAAAAGTGGAAAACAAGATCCATTCATGCAGAAATTAAAAAAAAATTTTTTAGATACTCCCCAAGATAACCTCGGAAGAAACTCATTTCTAAATCTGTATTTCTGGTGATAAAAGAGTTAAAACTCTCAACAAAATATTTCTCTGCTGATCCTAAACTACCCAGAACCACCAACTCCTCACAGGCACTGTACTAACCCAGCCAGAAACATCATGAGATAAAGACAAATAGAGGGCCCTTTCATTCCTCCCAAGGAGCCCTAACTCACCTTCTCTCCAAAGCTGATGTGTGTGGACATCCTTAGCTGGAACTAATGGGGTTTCTGCCAGTCTGGAGTCAATGACCCTGTCAGTTTTTAACTGTGATGTACAATTGTAGTTACAATGCAGGTGTTCCTGCAAGATGAATAAGGAGCAAGATGCCCTAGGAAATGCATTTCTGAGATATCAACATTCACTGAGACCCTTTTCTTTCTCACATCCATAACCCCTTATAAAATCCACAACCTTAAAAACTAAAAATAGAAATTCCATTTGACTCAGCTAGGGTATCTTACTGAAAGAATAATACCTACTACAAGAATACTGAAAGGATAAATATCACACATCTTCTCTTATCTGAGAAACACAAAATATAATTTCAAGAACAAAATAAAAGAGAGATAGTAAGAGACAGGGAGGTAGACTGTGGAGATGAGAAGGGAATGTGGGACTGAGGGGGGGACAGGCTACGTGGAAGGGAAGTAAACTTATCTACATGTAATAGGTGAATGCAATTGTTTTGTACGACAAAGGTACGATTTTTAAAACAGAGTCAGCCTCTCACTGTGACTGCAGTGCCCACTCAGAAATCACAGACTGCTCTCTTGCAGTGAACTAAACCCTCAGCTTTCCTGTATTCTCTGAAAATTCTTCGGCAGATCCCACACACCAGCTCTCAGGGCAGCGGTTCTTCCTTGAGATTATTTTCCTGTATGGATCACATTCAGCCTTATTCTACTTCTCCCCACAACTATGAAAATAAAGAAGAAACAGTATCTGGAAGTCCTTGGAATCACTATGAAACAATTCACTTCATAAAAAAATCTTAATGAAATAAAAGCCATTTTTACCCACATGCTTAATGTCATACAAGTAAATATACAGAAAAAGTGTTTCTCTTCAAGTTATGGTGAGTTTAGGACTAATGCTTTATATTTCATCTTGGAGGGTTAAAAAGTTCATTTTTATACCACCTTGTATCATTGTGAAATTATATACTCAAGCCAATATGCAGTGCTAATAATAAAGTAACATAAGATCAGTGACTCAAAAACTTCAATACTGAGGTGGCATTTAAATTTAGACAGCAGTGAAAGCAGGATTCTCAGAGTTTTCAGTTAATAAACAGAGGTTAGCTTTCTTCAGTGCTCTGAACCTATCAAAAGTGATCCTTTTATTATCATAAAGAGATACACATTGGTATGAAAGGAAACAGAATGTTGTCTTTGTAACTTCTCAATATTTGAAAAATCAAGACATTCTGGAGTCAGACTGGTTTAGAACTATTTTTAAGCTGATATTAGGTAAAGCTTTTTTTTTAAATCTTACTTCAAAGGTATTTGATGTAAAGGGATTAATTTCATAGTGTTGGCAAAATGTTGATTTGTTGCTCTTCTTTAACTGATTTTGTAAGACTATGATGAAAAAAAAAACATAAACGATGAGTAATCTTCTTGAGATCTTTTGTGATGTAATGAAGTTGCTTCTCATTCTAAAATCAACTTATAAGACACATACTGATTGTAAAAACTTACCATACTCACTGTCGTAGAATATAATGAATTTCTGCCAGGCGTACTCTGTGACTACTCTGAGGATCACATCATTCAGGTATACTGGTGGCCTGACAGAGAGTGTGTAATCCTCATTCCTGCTGCTCCGAGTGAGTCCACAGCCACTTCTGGGGGTGCCAGCTGTTGAGCGCTGAATGAAGAGATGTGGGATATGCATAGCATCTGCCAGAGACTGGAGGGACCCAGCTGATGTGCAGCCGATGGAGCTGACCAGGGCCAAGATGCCTTGGTTCATAAGTTCACAGGCTGCAAGAAAGCACAAGAATATTCAGAAGTCAGTGAGACTTGTATACTTCTCTTTTGGGAGAGCAGTGGATAAAAGTTTACAGGTCAGTTACTCAATGATGCACATTATGTTTTCAAGAAAAAAATTCTGTGTGAGTAAATCTTCAAATTACAAAAAGCTGTGTGATTCATTTCAAGAATTCTGTCATCATTAGCTACATGACTGTGCATGTCACTTTCCTGTATTAGCTTCTCCTGGTTTAGGTTTGCCTTCTGCAAAGTGAATAAAATAGCATGAATCTGTTGGCATTGTGATGATTAGAGACCACAGAGTTTCTGTTACTTGTTTTTCACATGACCTTCAATTAATGGATATGAGCTTTTGTACTTACCAATTCATAATCCAGAAAAAAAAACACAATTTTTTACTAAGTATATAACACAGGTTTTCAAAGAGTAGATAATATATAAACTAGTGTTGGAGTGAAGGAGAGTTAAAGAGGTGGATGGGGCATTTCTGGCCCCAGACAACAGAGCCACCACTGTCTCTAAATGTTCAATGACACTTTTCCTTTCTCAATAAAGTGGATTTTCTTTGACTCAGAAAAATCAGTGTCAAATGAAACACTACATTTCAGTAACTATCACATTATGTTCCTAGATGAATGATTTCTAGTTTGTATTACCTGGCATGGTTTCAGTTTTAATTCTCCTATATTTGAAAATGCAGTTTGAAGCATATTTAAGACTATATGAAATATAAATTATGATTAAAGATATATATAACATATGCTGAAAAAATAGTTAATAGGTGATATCTCAGAATGCTACCATTTGGAGGGAAGAGGATGGAATATATACAGAAGTAAATTCAGAATGAATCAATGCAAAATTATACCTATTTAAGAAGTTTATGTGTTATAATAGATTCATATTTCATTCTAAATTTTAGATTTTCTAGTATAAGATTCTCAGATTTAAGATGTTAGTATAGATTTTTTACATAATTCTTTTTAAAAAAGGAAATTTATATGGCAATCCCTTCAATCATTAAATTTTTTCAAGCACTGCCTCATGAAATAGATTATATTGATTTCAAATAAATGTTAAATATACCTTCAAGGATGAATATTTTTAGATCATAACAAATTGAGGTGAAATTTTAGAAAAAGTTACAAATTCTATTAATGTCCATCTATCAAAAACAATATAAATTTATGCTTATAACTGCAATAAATTTATACAATACTCCTGGTTAAAGTTTGCTTCATTGTTGTGGAAAATAAGATCATTAATTATTTATAAAAGCAAATCAAAATTAACTTTTAAAATGCACTTTGTTTGAAAGCTTGATTCATTTAGCACTTAAAATCAAAATAAGAATTCCTTGGAGTGTACAAAGTTAAAATCAATCTCTAGATTCCAGTAATTACAAATCACAAATTAAATATAACATTTAATGTACCCAAAGCAGAAAAGCCATAAAGTTATATATTTATATCTTCCACTAGAGCCTCCTATTTTTAGACTATGTATCTTATCATGACCTGGTGGGATATACAGCAACTAGACTTTTGGAAATTAGATGAGTGCAGAATGTTATATTTGAAAAAAAAAAAATATCTCTATAATCACAGATAGAAAAGAGTGAGGATTAAAGTTAATTGTGACAGGAATGATATTGAAGATCATATTATATTTTTATCTTGGAAACATTGTTCATCATGTTATAGAAATTCTGGGTATTAAAATTACTTTTCTTAAAGGGTAGGGAAAAAGATTCTGAAAATTTTTACCATAAAGAAATGACCAAATGTTTGAGGAGGTAGATAGGTCTAAGCAATAAATACTATGCAATACATATATGTGTCAACATATTACAAGATGATACATTATATATAATTTTTATGTTTTATGTATCAGTTAAAATAAATTTCAAAGAGAATAATCTTACAGCTTTTTATAATAGAGAACTTTTTATATTTAGAGCTGATGCTTTCAAAATTAATGGCAGAATATTTTGTTTCATCAAGTTTTGTCCTGTAGACATAAGAATAAGATATCTGTACAATGATACAGTGAATAAGCTGGGCATGATGGTGCATGCCCATAACCCCACCACTCTGGAAGGCCGGCTGAAGTAGGAGTATTGCACGTTCTCATCCAAACTCGGCAATTTAGGCCCTGTCTCTAGATGAAAAAAATAAGAAAGAGTCAGGAAGAGATCTCACTGGTAGAGTATCCTAGAACTGAAAATAAAGACAAAGAAATACAGAGCACAGAGAACAATGTGTTTGCTTTTGTGTAAGAGGAAGAGAGCATAAGAAGAACTAATAGTTTACATTGCTTTCTCCATTAGTATCATCTGTCCAAAATACCACTGAGAAAACTCAGAAGGCATTTCCTCCCTGTTTCTCCTTTCCTTTCCATGTCATTTTGATAAGTGTGTACTGTCAATTACCCCTTGTGTGTCAGAACTATTCTCTTCTGCAAATATCTAAGTCTAATTCCTTCATTCAGCTAAATTAACTCTAAGACAATTAATAAAACTCCCAAAGTTTACGTGATCTCATAGCCAACTTGCTTAATCTTTCTCTAATCATCCACATTGTAAACAAGAACGTTTTCTTTTAATTTCATTAAACATTCCCATATTTTGAAGATCAACAACAACAAAAAAAGGCCAAACCACTGAACTATTGTCACCTGTCACAGTCTAAAGACAAAGGAGAGCCCAGTGCAGTGTGGAGTCCTAGACAAAATATGGGAACAGAACAAAAACCTACTAGTAATGTAGTTGTTGACTTCCAAACAAAATATGAAGTTCCAATAAAAATAGCAGTATTAATTATGGCACTTACTGATATTAATTTCACTGGCTTTGATAGTTTTTCTATGTCTATGTAAGGAGTTAACACTAGGGAAATTGTTTGAGGAATAAAAGGTAAGTTTTTGGGTGGGGGGAATCTATAACATTCAAAATCCAAAACTGATAAGACAGCCAAAGGCTGAAGACTTCAGCAAAAGAAGCCTGAATCCTAACCAAAAGAGAAAAATCTTCAATTATCTGGGTCTAATGTATTCTTTTGTTCACTTCTATCTTCTATACCTTGTTACTACATCTTTCTTTATTATATAATTTCTGACTATCATATTTATACTCTAGATTATTCCTTCAGCAGCCTATGTGTCTTTGTGAAGAGACATTTCTGACATATTAACAATATGGTGTCTTCAAATTCAAAACCAATGTTCCTTCATGGGACCTTCATTAATTTAATTTGAGTTTCTCTTAGCAAAATTTGTAATATTCACTGCGTAGAATTTCCATTTCCTGTTTTGAATTTATTCATAATTACTTTATGCTTTATATTCTATTGTGAATAGTACTTTTAAATTCCAATCTTTTATTGTCAGCATATAGAAAAAAGATCAATTTTGGCATCTTGCTTTTGAAACATAAGCCATACTAAAATCATTTCTCCTAGTTTCCACTTCTGTAGAGTCTGAAGAAATATTTATATCGACAATTATGCTGTCACTAAATAGAAGCAATTTCTTACTTTCTGATTTGCATGACGCTTCTTTCTTTTTTATGTCTTATTGCATGGACAGGTAACACTACTGCAAAACTGAGCAGATACAGTAACATCTGTCCTTATTTTCTGCTTGATCTTAGGAAGAAAGGATGCAGTATTTGACAATTAAATGAAAACTTGTAACTTTTTCAGCTATGCTTTTAGTTTGCTAATGAATACAGTTGCTGGAAGTATTTTAAATAAAAACAGATGCTAATTCTTTCATAATAAAAAAATTTTGAAAAAAATAGATGTGGAAGGATATTACCTTAATTCATTACAAAAAATTTATGATAAATCTCCTGGCCACATCATATTAAATGGGTTAAAAAGTGAAAGCATTTCCTCTAATATTAGGAGCAAGACAAGGGTGTCCAATATCACAACTCCTGTTCAATATAGTATTTCAAACATTAGCAAGAAAAATTAGGCAAGAGAAATGAACAAAAAGGATATGTTTATGAAAGGAAGTAGTCAGATTGCCGTTGTTTTCAGAAAACGTTATAATCTACACAAAAGACAAATCCACCAAAAGACTCTTAGAATTAACAACCAAATTCAATAAGGGAAAGAACACAAAATCAACTCACAAAAAATCAATAACATTTCTATATACTACTAATGAATCCATAGACAAAGAAATTGGGGGAAAACACCATTCAAAGAAGCACCAAGAAAATTAAATACTTGGGAATAAAATGAAATGAAGAAATGAAAGGTCTCTACAGTGACAGCTCTGAAAAAGTAAATTGAAGAGGACATCAAACAATGGCAAGATATCTCCTGTTCCTCTATAGGCACAATCAATCTAGTCAAGATGGCCATACTTCCAAAACTGATACACAGATTTAACATAATCACGAGCAAAATTCCAACAGCACTTTTCATACAAGTAGAGAAAATAATCCTACAAATCATACGGAACCAGAAGAGATCAAGAAGAGCAAAAGCAACTCTGGCTAAAAAGACTAAAGCAGGAAGCATCATAAACACCAGACTTAGAGTTATATTACAAAGCTAATGTGACAAAAACAGTATGATACTGGCACAAAAATGGATGTGGTGATCAATGGAACAGAACAGAGGACTCAAAAACAACTCCTAATGACATTCAATATTTGATCTGTGATAAAGGGGCCAAAAACACACACTGGAGAAAAGACAATCTCTTTAATAAATGGTGCGAAGAAAACTGCTTATTTGCATCCAGAGGACTGAATCTACACCCATGCCGTCCACCATGTACTAAACTAAGATCAAAATGAGTTAAATAAATATTGAGCCAGAAACATTTAATGTGCTGGAAGACAAGATAGGTAAAACTTTTCAAATCACAGATAGAGGAAACAACGTTCTGAACAGAACTGGAGTTTCACAGGAAACTGCTGTGGAAATCAACAAATGGGGTCATATTAAACTAAAAAGCCTCTGCAAAATAAAGAA